GCAACACAATACTTGGTAAATCATTAAGTTCAATATACATTCAACGTGAATCGTATTTGTACTGTGGCATGTACTGCGTTCTAACCAACATATTTGAACCAAAGGTCATTTGGGAACTTAGGTTTATCCATTTACCTACTCCACTGGAAAATTGTATTCATTATATCAGTTAGATAAATATATTGATTTATTCATTTAACGATCTTATAATTTGTGTTTGTCTTTAATAAAATTAATAAACAATAAATAACTATTTTGTTGAATTTTTCCTTTGACGCAAATTCAAATAATAACCATAAATCCATTGATAAAATTTATGTCTTTGTTTCCAAATTGTAATGATACCTTCATTAAAGACTAAGTAATAAAATGGATAAATGATATATTGTATATATTTGTTATAATGATATATATTATTAAATGGTATATTATATTGATATAAAAAAGTAGTTTCTCTTAGGAATCAAGCCCGATGGCAGCAAAGACCTCTCCCATTTCTTTCAACTTTTTTTTGTTTTTCGATGTGTTTCACCAATTCTTTCCTTTAAATTTCTTAAGATCTTCCTTCCAGTGTTTGTTTTAGTAGAAGTATTTTTCTCCCTCTTATTAAAGACGGTATCAATTTTCGCTCTTTTTGGTCCATCCTGGTCAGTTGGCTTAGTCTTCCTTAGGCTTACTTAGTCAGTTGACTTAGACACGGCCGATTTCATTCGTTTTTCTATATTATTATTTTATTTATTTATTGTCTATATTCTATTATATTATTCTATATTTCNTATATTTTTAGGCTAATTATTTTTAGTACCAAGTTGGTGAAAAGCAAGGTTTTATTGTTATGTTAAGTTCTTCTAAATGTTTGTTAAGAACCGATTTTTTCTTTTTTCTATTTTCTTTTCTACACTGTCTTCAACTCTGATAATTGGTCCTTGGATGTTGCTTCGTCCACTTATTCAATAACATTTAGAGTTATTTTCTTTTTTCTTTTATCATTAGGAGTGTTTCTTCTCATTAATTTCTTTTCATCCATTCCATAATAAGGCAGCCAACGTTCAGTTAATGGTTGTAGCTCTATTAGTAATCATCTTTTTTTTAAAGGTTTTTTAGTCATTAAAATTTTTAGATCAAAGAACCTTTTCTATAGTACATCGACAAGAGGAATGCCAATAAACATAAACATTATCATTATTTTATATAAATATCATGAAAACGTTTAAATGGAAGAATTTTTTTTTTATATTTGTCACGGAGAACAATAAGCGTACCGTGATGATCGGCTTGTCCACCGAACTGTGGATAAAAATCGCATGGTTCAAATCAGAAATCCTGGCACGTACTGGTATTACTCTTGAGATTTTTACAGCCGGAATGCCAATATGGACATGTGTGTTTACGTCAGGCTCGTGCGTAACCGTAACACGATAAAAACGTAATTGATAATTACCGTAGAATGTAACAAATTACGCGTATTTTCCCCCTCGACTGTTCAAATTGGCTTTTCCTACGTTGGACGGATTCGTTGCGAACCGGTGGTCTAATTGGAGACGTAATAATGTCACCAGCGTCTCGAGTCGCACAGGTCATGGGCAATTATAGAAGAAATTTAATCTACCATTTGACGGCAGTAGATGTTTATTTTTCTTGGCTTTTTCCCAAATCACAAATTATCGACATGGCATGCATGAAACTAACACATTAATTTTTTGTGACGTAACGGTTTCCTTCGGACTATTCTATGATTTCCGATCTTCAAAGCATTTTCAGCAAGCTCAATTTAACAGCACTAAATTCTATATACTTTGAATCTAACAAATACTTAACCTAAAACATCCAGAGTAGGGTTGTTGTCACTACATTTTTTTTTTCCATATGGATACCAGGGACTGGAAGAGTTCCCTCCTGAGCACTGCAGCTGAGCTGTACAGCTTATTGTACTTTATCCCTTGCTCCATATTTTGGGGGAGGGCTCGCAACACAAATGTGAACTTGAGTCCCCGTTGTACCGGTGTTCTTCCATCGAAGAAACTCATTTTTGAAGGGGGTTGGGACCAAATTCAGGGTCGCTGAGATCCGATCCCGCCCTTCCATTGATGAGTGCCGTGTCAATTTCTTTCAATTGCGGCCACCGGTCCCCTTAGGCGTCAGAAAAAGTCCAGAGGCGACGGTGGGGATAGAACCCACGACCGCGGGATCTACTAGCCGAAAGTCTGACGCCTTAACCACTCGGATACCGCAGCTCCCCCTGTCACTAAATGAAGCAAATTCTATTTCATTTTAGATTGACTTCATTTGTCAATAATTGTTTATAAGGTTTATCCGCTGTATATCAAACAAAACCTGCAATTTATAGGTATCTTTCTAACAGACGTTTACATCTGTGTTATTAAATATTATTTAGTGTATTTACTTTAAAAATATTACTGTATTCAGAAAATTTTTATTGTTTAGTGATTCGATGAACAGGAATTCACGGACAATTCAACAAAGTTCACAAATAGGCTTTCATTATTTACAAAAACAAATTGGCAAACGAACTTTCCCTCTTTCTTTTTGTTTAAAAAAATGAAATGGTAATTTATGGAATTTGTTATGTATGCGATTTCTACATTGGCTTCTGCTTGTTTACATATTTTGTTCAGTCGTCCCTCTCCTCAACCAATAGTAACTTCCTTTCCAATGATATACTTAAAAATGATTTCCCTCGTGCAATATTGACGAGGATTGACGCAGTTATTCATATCACACTTTTTTCTAGAAATGTTTAAGTTTGAGAATTGAATTGAAAAAGCATTTTGTTAAATACTGTGGACAATTAACAACAACCTCAGGGAAAAGATAAAATATACTGCCGAACCGGATGACGAAGAGTTCAGAAGAGCTATTAAACAGCTTCCCAAACAAAGGAAAAATAATAAATAATTTAAACAAAAGCGTTGTGAACTTCAGTAAATCGTAAATTCCTAATTTAAAAAAATAAATAAATAAAAAAGCGTAAAGTAACAAATTTCTTTGTTTATATAAAGTTCTGTGCGTTGTAATGATATTTATATTGCGTATATATCTTTATTGACATATTTTACGCTGTTTCATAATTAATTTAACAAAGGATTATTTATACTACTATGAACGTTAAAACATTTTACACACCGTCCAGCTAAAAATTTCAACGTATCGTAAATATTTATATTTTTAGGACTCGAAGAAAGAAGCAAAAGCTCTTTGATGCAGTAGTCACATGTACATTTAAATTGTAAATTAGAAGAGATACATTGTTTGCTTAGATGTTAAAAGTGGGCTTGCATGCTTAAAATAAAATTGTACACTTGAAAATCGTTTTTGGCTGTTTAGGACAGAACAATCGGACCGAATGGGGCGTACACACTCATGCGGCCACAAAGGTTCCTCCTTCAAAAGGGAAAACAGTATGATATTCAGGCATTAAACATTTAAAAACACCCCAAGACATGAAGACACATGGAATTTTTTGCTTTCCAGTAATTGGAAATATTGTTCAATGTGGAAAATTTACAACCAGTTTATGACCAATGATAAAAGCAACTTCATGAGACCCGCACTCACCGCTTTTCTGTTCACGTTTCCCGAAATGACACGAAATGAAATATCCGCGTGTGATTACACTCGAAAGCTTTCAGTTTTATTGCCGAACTAAGTTTGAAGAACGTTTCATCTCAGTAATGTAATATCGTTGAAGTCGGGCAATGGAGGGTGAAAATCAACGTTTAATTACTTCTATAAAGTCCGTAATTATTAGTCGGCAGAGTTCACTAAAACATTTTATCAGCCGTGAGTTACCGACGGAACATCTCCTCCCTTTAAGCCGAACAGTCATCATGGCATACGAATAAAGATAAAGGAGACGAAACCGATTAGCGTGTAATATCTCAAAACTTAATTATTGAGACATTACTTGCAATCTAAGAGAAAAACTTAATTATTGTTGTTAATTAAATGTACACTCTGTTTAATTGCTAGTTGCAGACAACAATAACAATTTGCAGCTAAATTTATTACCAAAAAAAGGTATTCTTTATTATTCATAAGTAGTATATTATTTTTTTTGTATTTATAAGTAAAGCAACTAATGAAACTTAATTTCCAATTTAAACATTTTTTCTCATGTTTTTAAATAATTTAACTCCATCGGTCTATGATGGTAATTACAGTGACTCCACCTACTTTCGTTGATTATCTGTTCGCAGATAGTAGGACCAATTTAAAGATCGCACCAAATTTTTCCGAAAAATGTATTAATTCCAAAGAAATGACAAACATTGAATCCAATCAATTGTGTATAAATATTGAGTATTCTTGTCTAGCAGATAAGGTGGTTTTCTCTAATGTTGTCTGTATTGATTCGAGTGTTACTCGGGGCTGGCATACTGGACCGATCTTATTTTCCAGCTTTTTTAATGATGTCATAAATGTAATCACAAATAATCATCTTTAATGGGTCTTGTGGGATGGGGATTGTGGTCTTCTTCAGAATGATTTGAGGTCATTTTAGGGCTGATAATAGAAAGTATAAAACTATCTTTTTCTTTAAACATGGAATTCCAATATTGTGAACTTTTCCTATCATACCGACAGACGGTTTTTGAGGAAGCCATTAAGCTTTCTGATCTTGGGGCTATTCCATTCGAACTGTGATTTTACGAAAAAAGACAAAAAGAATCTTGGTTTTAGTAAGCTAATGGCTGTTATTTTTAAAATCCCATCATAATCAAACCCCTTTATCAGATCCTGGTTAGAAGAAGTTTGGAGTATTCCAGAGTGCTTTGGTTCCTTTTTGATTTGCATTAGGATAGATTTGAAACTCAGCAAAGCAGAGCACTATATGAGTTCAAGCCAGTTTACCTTTACAGTTATTTGTCTTTTCACAATAAACTTTAAGTGGTTTGGATACATAATCCTTGGCAGAGTTGCTCGTTCGTTCATTTCTTTAAAGGTTGTTGATGCTCCTAAGGTGGTCTCCTGAAAATGGGAACTTAGGGAGGTTAAACTTTTATATGCCTTTTTATATTACAGTTAATGTTCTTCTCCTTGCAATTTTCGCGTGGTACGTTTGGTTATTAAGTATTGCTGATTCGTTGTTTCACATTCACAAAGTTTATAAACTTTTAATTTATAACTGGCTGGCAGATAAACTAACGGTAATTCTATATACGCAATTATTTTAGATCAAAATTGTTTAATAGGTTAGTTTCTATTTACTGATTGTCCTCTTGTAGGATAAACGTTGTTGGCTTGATAATATCACAGGCAACGTAAATGTAGCATTTATGTAATTGCTAAGCGTAATGTCCAGTGGGACAATTGTTTTTCATGCTTCTAAATTGTTCACTTCTTAATTGTTGTGCTGAAAATGGAAATATATAGTTAAACAGTATTATCGAATTATAAGCAAAATAACAAATTAAATTAAATTTCTTGTAATACCTAAATTCCATATGCTGAACACATTGATCCTGTAAATCAAGGCTCTTTACCGTCCGACAGACCCAGACCTGAAGATAGCTAGATGCTGAAACCGACATATAGACTAAAATAAATATCAGGTTCATCACTACAGACCTCAAGAGAAAATCTCACAATTTAGAAATTAAGTTTTATGTAAATAGTGCTTGACTAGTGAAATGTTGAAAAAAATATCGATTAATAAAATATAAATCCATATCAATCAAACATGACGTTGCAAAATCTGGGGGTGACAGAGCTTCCCTATTTATTGTCCGCACAAAGTGCATAATTATACAAAAATTAAGTCAATTCCATCTTAAGCACCACCAGAATTGCCGGACAACTTGAAAGAAATCATCAAATAGTCGTCAGTATTAAAGGATGACGTTGAGCGACAGCGTCTATGAAATAATTGAGAAAAATACATTTTATTAGCAAAAAAATAAATACATAAATAAACGCCTAGACTTTTTCCAAAAGCACAACAAGAATTATTGCTTCTGGTCCTTTTCTCAGGCGAGAGAAATTTTATATTTTTGCCTTTGATAATGGATGTTAAAATAACAATAATTAGGTTCAAAATTAGTTTCTTCAATAATCAATCGGGTAATTACAACAAAAGAAGGTTCAACAAAATATTAAAAATTGTGCTATCCATAGTTATACTGCATCGGTTTGTTGTAACTAATATGAAAGAAATAATTTACGACAATTTTAGTGTTACCAATTTTTATTGCATTTTCGAAAAATTATATTTAAAAAAGTGTTCATTCTTTTATCACAACATTGCTCATTAATATTCGTTCTAACTCATAAAATTTAGACAAAATAGCATTAAGTTGATAAAAACGTGAGAATATTATAAAAATAAAGTACAATAAACGGAATACTTTTATTAGACACTATATATGAAAAGACTTTTTGTTCCCATCGCAAGTCATTATTAAATGACGATCATCTACAGACAACTTAAATTATTAAAATTACTAATTTGGAAGTATGATCAAAGATTGTTTCAAAAGAAACTGCTTTCGACATTAATACAAATTTTAGCTATTGTATTCTATGTGGTCATTATTTTTTTTTAATTAACAGAAATTACGTCTGTAAATAAATGCCCTGTAAAAAATATCTCATAATAAAAAATTAATTCTGTGCTTTATCTTATTCAAGTTTCATTCTGCCCCGCCGAACGTGACTATTCTATTCACGATTGAGCCCTCTTCTAAAAGCGTTTGTAAACCCCTGTTATATACGAACATTTTAGTTGTAGTTTAATTATACTAAAACTGAAAGAGTAAATTAGCAAATTTTGACTGTTAAAATCGTACATCCCTACGAATAGAAGTAGATTGGTCATGGTTGGTTATTCGGTGGTATTTTTATTCTAGCCGCTCCCCTGTAGTTCCGTTAACATAATTGTCATTATTTATTAGCGGTGGAAGTTAGCAGGTGGTAAAATGGTCGGTCTGTTGTCAAATCTGTCGAGCTGGGTCTCCGGGGTGGGGTGATGTTCAGGACGCAGGTCCTGCGATTTCCCCACCATCCTCCGACGGCCCCACCAACTTCAGTCCTTCTGCCGGCGCCTTCCCGTTCGCGTTAGCTCATATATCTCACCGCGACGTATTCCACAACGATGAGCCGCAGCCAATCCAGGTAAACCGGTTTATGTCACAGGTGGTGGGTCGCTGTTTTCCAGTCGGTTTGGTGTGCTCTTTTCCGTTTTTCTGCTCGTTTATATTTCCTGCTGTTCGTCTTGAAAATCGCCCTTTTCGACCCCCTTTACGTGTCGAAGCGTATAAATCTTCCTCGGGGTAAGATCCGTTGACCCAATTCAGCCCTTCCATACGCACCGTTTAAAGGCTCGATCCCTTTTTTTAAGACTTAAAGGTCTCAACGACTCAACTAGTCATTAGGGCGGGGATGGCCGAATAGAATATCCTCTGTCTGGAAATATAAATTGGCCGTGTTTTAACGGCCGATCCTAAAATATCTAACGCCCTGAACCTCGTCCCGGTTTGTGCGGAAATATTTCTAATAATAATTAAACCGCGGTGTCCACTTTCATTTTACTTTGTCATTTTATCACACAAAAATATATGAGAACAAGCTATTAATTTTGTGTAAAACGACACTTCCCGGAGACAGGAAATCTCATCCGTACTCGGCACCCACACGGCAATTAGTTTAAACGTTTTCAGCATTTTAGCCAATTCGGTCACCATATTGAATAGTTTCTGAAATTTCCAACTTTCATCACGCCAACATACAGCTTATCTTGGTTATCATTGTCGTTAATTCCAAATCAGCGATAACTATCAAATATTGGGTTGTCCGGAAAATAATGCAGGATTTTAAGTTTTCATTAAAAAAAATCTATATAAAATATTCTGTTTACGTTTACAGGATTACTCATTTGTACGAATGTCAACACTTATTAATCCTCTTCCAAATGATATTGTTTGTTTACCTCTGTAGCATTCCGCTACTTGGAAATAATTCAGTCATCCTTATAATGTCAAAGCGAGAATTTCGTACGATTTTCTTTTACGAGTTTAAACTCGGCCGAAGCGGAGCCCAAACGGCTAGAAACATTAACCAAGTCTGGGGCGAGGGTTGTGTTAATGAGTGCACTGTGCAAAGGTGGTTTAAAAAATTTCGGGAGGGAGATTTCAGCCTTGAAGATGAAGAAGGTCGTGGAAGGCCTTCCTCTCTTAATGATGATGTTCTGCGATCAGTGGTGGAAGAAAACCCCAAAACAACTGTTCGAGAACTTGCAGAGCAACTCAAAGTCAGTAAAACGACCGTCGCTGACCACCTCAAGGCGATTGGAAAAGTGAAAAAACGCGAAAATTGGGTTCCACACTCATTAAACGATCGCCAAAAAAATCAGCGCTTTGATGTTTGTGCATCACTTCTTTGTCGAAACAAAAATGACCCATTTCTGGCCAGAATTGTTACATGTGACGAAAAGTGGATTCTCTACGATAACACTAGACGTTCTGGACAGTGGCTCGACAAAGGAGAAGCTCCAATACATTTTCCAAAGCCCCCAACTCATCAAAAAAAGGTAATGGTTACGGTATGGTGGGCTTCATTTGGTTTAATACACTACAGCTTCTTAAATCCTGGCGAAACCATCAATGCTGAATCATACTGTAACCAAATTAATACCATGCATCAGAAATTGGCAGTAATGAAGCCCTCTTTGGTCAATCGGAAAGGGCCCATTTTGTTGCATGACAACGCTCGACCACATGTGTCACGTGTAACGTCACAAAAATTATTGGAGCTTGGCTATGAAACTTTGCCTCACCCACCCTACTCTCCGGACCTCTCGCCTACTGACTACCATTTTTTTAGACACCTGGACCACTACTTACAACACATAATATTCAAAAATCAAACGGAACTGGAAAATGCATTTATTGACTTTATCAATTCTAAAAATTCTGAATTCTACTCAGACGGAATTAATAAGTTACCAACACGTTGGGAGAAATGTATTGAGAGTATGGGAAATTATTTTGATTAAAGAACATTGCTTTAAAGTAACTAGTTTCTTTTTTTTTGTTTAATACCAAAATCCTGCATTATTTTCCGGACAACCCAATATGATATGCCTCGCGTTACAACATAAATTTTTTCTCTCCACGCGTAATATTCCTTTTAAAACTGTCATATAAAACTAAAATTTCTTATACATGTTAAATATTATTGTTTGAATCCAATAGTTTTTATTATTGTTATGTCTATTCACTCATCAAATTTTCAATTTTTTTTCTGATAGTTATGTTAAACAGGATACTTAACTATGGTTACTTTAGTAGTTCCATACAACTTTCTCGTTTGTTGTTATTTTTCGTCCTGTGCTGAATGGCCAAGTATTTTTTCAAATTGCCCCTTTTTTATATTAGGAATCTCTGTGATAATGTGGTATAGGTGATCCTTGATATGAAAGATGAGAAAGGTTTGCATTATTTTTTTATACATTAGTTAAATCTTTGTCTTTTACGTCATACAAGAATGTTTTTATTTAGAATGAGTATATTTTAATCTCATTTTTTTAAAAAGGCACGAGGAGGCATTTGCTTTTTACCCTGCATGTGATTTCAACCTTGACTTTTGAAAATGACGTCATGAACAAATTTCAACAATTAGAACACGACGACACTTGTTGAACAGTGTTTTCTTTCCCATCTCGTATTAGGCCGCGTATTTTACCATAACTGGCCCAACGGCGTGTACAACTCTTATTTTACAACGGTGGAAAACGAGTTTGACAGGAGTTTCAAACTTACAAATAAAACGCCCTTGATGCTTTGAATTGTGAATCAGTTGTGGCACCCCTCTCGCATCGCGCTCCCACGCTCGAAAAAAAATGCTTCGGAAACAATACCTTACTTGTTAAACTCGCCATTCAATATTGTGATAACTCAAGTGATAAATATTTCTTTGAGTGTATAGTGTGATAGCATATCGACAATGAGAAATAATAATGCTTGTAAAACAAAGACAGTTATCTAAATTGTCATCTAGTAAAATCACTGGAAATTCTTTTCTTTTTTTTCAAAATACTTACGCATAAGTTAGAAGTACTATGGCATTCTTACGTAACAAATTTAATTTACGCAATCATTTCTATATCGTAACTAGTAGCTGTGAAAGGAGAAAATGGTTATTATTTCCGGTTATTATAGTCGATCGAATCGTTGTATCTAGTTTTTCGTTATAAAATTCATCCAATAATAATATAATTGATTTAAGTGATGTTTGCGTGTCATTTAGAGAGATCACACACGTTGAAAATTTCAGTCTTGCTTTTTATTTTTAAGCCCCACCCTACGGTATCTGGAGCGGAATTCTTGAACTTGAACTGCTAAGTGGTTCAAGGCCCTTCGGAAATTGGCCATTTTCCACCAGGACTGTGGAACTGGAAGTTTCTAATTTCACATGAGTCACGACACCGACACATTTTTCTATATAAGGAGCGCGTTTTGAAATATTCTGCGAGCTTGAAATTAATTTAGGCTTTTTATACTAGGACGTTAGTTTGAATTACTTTGCCCTATATTAATGTTAATAATTATATAAACTAATTCAGGAGAATATTTGTTAATTTTATTTAATTTACTTGCAGCTTTTCTTTTGTTGTTTAACGTGTAAAACGGATCTTAAATATTTACAAATTTATGATATTAATTAAAACATTATTTTACGTTCGTCATTGCTAAGTTTTCTTGATTTATATACTTTAAAAACATATACATGGTGAACTTAAATCAGTAAGGACATACATTTTTTTTTTTTTCAAATTAAAAACACTTCTTCAAGTCTGAGAAGGCAGATGTTATGTTCGTAAGGCAGAGCATCAGAAACCACCTTGTATTATTGTCCAGCATATTTGGAAAATATACGAGAAAATCCGGGAGTAAAATTACTACTCACATGTCTTAAATAACACAGTCAATTATTAGCGAAACTCATGCGAGGTATTGATAATTATTATTTTTATAAATCGGATGAGTACAACCAAAACCTGCTGAAAGTCGCTGGACTGGAAAAAACTCGAGAAAAATATTAGCATAATATATTTCTAGTATAAATCTCGCGATGTATGGAGAAAAACTTCATAAAATCATCTAGTTCGGTAAATCGTTCCAGGCATGTAAATATATGATATTTTTCTGTTAATTTTTTATTTATTTTAATGTTATTTTGTCCTGTCCCCATTCTAAAACATTGAGCTTTTTAAATCTTGGCTATGTTGTCGAATTTAGCCGATGGTCATTCGTGGAAGTAAGATTTGTGGAATGATAATTTTTATCTATTTAAACCTAAAAGTTAGATCAACTTTTAAAGAAAATTTTTTTTAAAAATTCATGTTGTAATTAGGCAAATATTATTGAAAATGATTCCCTGGACAAAGTAACGGTTGAATTGCAAGACTTCGATTCATTTTCTTTTGATTGTTTTCGATAACACAAGGGTTATCCCAACCATATTGAAACCAAATCATATTGTTGATATATTTCAGTACTTGCAATTATTGATTTTCGTTGTGAGAGAAATAAAAACCTTTCCGAATTGTATAAGCATATAAACTCTTTGTTCATAAAACACTAAAGAAAGAACCCACTATTTACGTTTTAATTCAAACATTTTTCCATGTTTGGACTGTTAGATTTTTTAGGCCCATAATTTTAATAAGTAATATGTACATTCACATTTCTTGGAAAGGATTGATAGCATTTATAATGCTATTTTTGCTTCGATGTCAGCGTTAATTTAGAATATGATAAGTTCATGAAATGATATTTTCGCTTTGAAAGGTCGTCCATGTCCAGACCTCCCTTAAATTGTGTAGGCTGTCAAAATTGCGTAAACAAGTTGATGTATTTTTAAGGATTAAAGCTTTCTTTTTAAGGGGGGGTTGCTTTAATTATACAAATACTAACATTACTCTTGGCGATAGGAAAATTGAAATATTTGGTTGTTTTTGTCAAGGTGCTTTGGTTTTGGTTGTAAATATTTTTTAATTACAATTTATACAAGTTTATTTTATAAACTTCAACAAAGGTGAGACAGGGAGGTGGAGGGATATAGAATATTTATGTAGGAAAATCAAGCTTTTCGAGATAATTTTGGTCCACCTTTCTCATAAACTGACATAGTAATATTTTTAAGGAACAATAGGGATATATTACTTCTTGAGATAATTAATTATTTTATCCATATATTAATTAGGGAAATTTTATTTTGATTAAACGGTGGACTTACTTGGGGTGGGGTGGGATAAGTGAGGCTGCAACTAATTTAGGTACACCGTGCGTATTTTATACGTCAAGGACGATGAAATTCCCCTGAGTGCCTTAAACGTTATCTCATTCTGGAACCGGCGCAAGCCCCGCATTCGGAATATTGCATTTGTTTCCTGTCAGGGGTGGAATTAACGAAATTTCGCCACCTGCGAGGTTGCCGAAGGGGTCCGCCTTCCTTTGGACGTACTTCGAATATCCTGTTGTGCTTTCATTTTAAAAGCGTGCCCCGGCGATGAAAAATTAAAACGGAGGGAGATATAAATTAGAAATGGGGTTATAAATATTAAGCCAGAGAGTGAAAAGGGGATGAAGATCAGGTGCTGTGCGTTCCTTCAAAAAATGCCATTCATGATTACGATAACAACCACCCAATTTCTCACTGATAATAGACATAAAATTAAAATAAAGATGAACTTAGGAAAATCACCGTTCAAAAAATATTAATTAGAAACGATTCTAAAGTTAAAAAGAAAAACTCAGAACTCACAGGATTATGGCATGTAACGCTTCTTCATCCAGTTAACCCTAAAATTGCGTAATTTCATGATTAAATGGACAACTATTTCATATAATTTTGATATACTCTCTTCGTTTATTAAGCATATGTTGAACAGCGGTTTTCCAAAGTATGCATTTATTATTGTGATATTTAGATCTAAAAAAAATAAGATTATATACTATAGTTAATACAAAATGCTGAATTTCTGTCCTTTATGAAACTTTGGCGTTCTTCAGCTACTTTGTTATAAATGAAACATGGAAGCAACTAACAAAGGAACAACTTAGGTAGAATTATAAATCCTAGAAGGCATGTTATATTAAAAAATAACACACACACAAACTAAAGGAGAAAAATCTTTTCTTTTTTTTTAAGTTTTATTGTTTCAGTTGTTCATCTACATTTGAATGTATGATGTTTGTAAACTATATCATATGATTGCAAAAGGTGACTATTTATCTATTTATTTTTATTTCAAATAATTCACGTAATTTCATGAAATTTTATAAACATGCATGTTATAGTTTTATGCGTACTTTTCCAATAATAATTAATAATATAATTAATAATTAATAATAACATTCAAATAATAAAACAAGGGATTAAACATTTTATTTGTGCAATAACTTTATTTAAAAATATTTAGAATTAATCTTACAAATAGTAGTCGAGTAAAAATTATATCAAAACATAAGGTTTAATAGAGAGATGTCGAAATTTGATCAGTCTTACAGCAAATTTTGGCGTTGTGCTAAGCAAGACTAAATTTACTAAAGCCTCATTTTTCAGTTTAAAAAGTTAGTTTAGTTATGAAAAAAGTACTCCCTAAAAAATGCTATAAGCTTTCAGCTTTATAAATCAAAACCAACCGGGAAAAACAACTCAATTTTTACTGTAAATGATTAACGTATTATTTTTGGAGAAAACTGCTTGGTTGTTATTTGTACAACCTTCGATTGTGATTACAAATTTCGCTGGAATCTGCTACATGTGCAGATGTTGAACTCAGGAAAGAAAATGCTCGTCGACAATGTTCGAAGAATATCGAGCTGAATAAAGTGATATAATAATTTCGTTCATGGGACAGAACGGTGTACAGAAGTATAATAATGTATTTTACCAATTAACCAACTCTAAATAATGCTAACAGTGTTAGTTTCTCTCAGGTTATTTTATATACGAAAATTATTTACATTGTCCGTTATAACGTTTAGTTGAATGCACAGAGCACTGGACACATTAAATTCCGAGTTTTCAAATAAAAGGGCTCGTAATTAGAAATTCGCCGCAAGGCATTGTCAACTCGTGCAATTATATTTTGAGAGGCGAAATGCGTAATGTAGTAATTTTCTAGTTGATTATACTCAATCCGTATTAGTTAGCGTTCACACACTGTGATTAAATTCAGAGAGAGGAAAAAAGTTGAAATAATCTACTTACATCTACACATAGGACAGAAGGAGGCTAAAAAATTCATTGCAATCTCCTCCAAGGTTTCGTATGTGTGATAAAACGGACCAAGGGTTCCATACCATAAGTGCCTCTTAAAAGCACAATGGCCGGGGGTAGGATACCAATGAATAAACTGGCATTTACCCTGAAAATGGAGCGGAACCAACGCGATTTGAAAGATTTGACTGAATCTTTAAATTATAGATGCCAACTTCTCCAATTAGCTCCTATTCAACAATATACATGATATTGTGTATAAAAATATAATATAAAAAATACTATAAAATATTTTTTTCTGCTTACCCGTATAAATGTATTTATTTGCCTAAATATTCGTAATAGGATGTTTACAAAGAAGAGGTATGTGATATTTGTAAGTTAATTGTTGAATATTAACTATTGTTATGACATTAATTAGGTTTTAATTAATTATTTTTAAAGATGTATTTTATGGTTTGATATTACTTTTCACAGCGATTAAAACCAACAATCCTAATCAGGGTTAAAAAACATTTTAGGTGTTTGATTGAACAAAGTAATTGTTAATTAAATTGTGTTGATTAAAGTTTTAAATGTGTTTTACAGCAATTTCAAATAGTTTTAATTAATTTAAAAAAATTTGAAGCCTTTGTTTGTCGGTTAATGAACCTTTAATATACAGAAATTTCTAAATTCAGCGGTCCATGGTGTACCATGAATCAAACAACAAATAAATTCGTAAGTGGTTAAATTGGTATAAAAATAAACATTCATAGAGATTCAATATTTTGAATTTCATTTTGGATTTAATGGGTTTTGGAATTAATTCACTAAATCCACTGTTTCAATCAATAATTATTGATATCAGTATCAAAAACTACTCAAATAAAGTTTAAAATATATATTTATGCGCAAAAACGCGAATAGGCAGACCAAAAGTCGATCAAGCTATACACAAATAAATGATCTTGAACAAAATCGTCTCGCCCCAGTCCCTTGCCAGTCCTTTTCTTTGTCTCTATCAACAAACAAGATCATGGAGAACTGTATGAATATAAATTAACCTAGAATCATGTACCACGGCTGGAACAAGGGAAGAACTTATATTGACACGCTAGAATAAAATTAGCTACCCAGCCTAAAAAACAAGTCCCTAATTTATCTCTGGTGGGAATGCTGACCCAATAATTTTCCTTCAATTGGTTTTATCGTTGCAACACGAAACTTCGATAAAATAATTCATTTCAAAACCAGCAATTATTAAATATTAAAGTTCAAAGTCAAATATTATCTATTATTATTAAGGAATTTCATTATATATTTGAGTACGAGATGTGTATTCAATTATTCACTTGTTATACACGTTTATTTGAATCATGGTGATCCCTTTTTTAACCGAACGATTAATTTATTGTTTCAGAATTATAAAACAGTTGTTGGAAAATTGTTAGAGGGCGTAGGTTGATAGCTTTCTCGACGAAATTTTACGTAGGCTGGTAATTTCCAGCTCGATGGTTCGCATCCCACTGGTGATTAATATTTAAAAGTGGACCCGACAGTCACTGCCAGAGTAAACAAGTTCTTTAATAATGTGTCTAGCCAATTGTATCAAATGTTGCAAGGTTAATTAAATATACCAGTATTCAAGAAATATTTTGATTAAAGTGCTTTAAAAAAATTAATTAATTAATTTTAAAACAGAATTCTCAGCCAATTTTCGGTTGGATTGTAACAAGACATATGCCCTCCTGAGTTTGATTATTAACTTGGGCACGTAGGAATTTAACAACTTAAAGGAATGAATATACAAAATCTAGCGTTTAAATGCAATGATTATTCCTAAGTAAAACGTTGTTGTGGTGGTCAGTGAGGTTAATAAAATTTGGAAAGTAACTTAAAGTCCAGGGTATCTGTACTTAGAAATAAATTGAGTGAAATGTAAGGACTTGAAAGAAATGTGTAAATGACGTGTTTGTCTTTCTTAAACCCATTATATTTCCACTTGAAACACAATTTAAAATTGAAACTTGGGAATAACATCATTTCCTTATTTTTATATCAACTATTTTTACTGCATGCCAAATGTTCACTTTAAACAAAAAAGTTGTCAGTTTCATTTTGGCAATATTCAATGGTTACGATAGTAGGAAAGATACGTCTGCACCTGTTTAGTAAACATCTCGTAAATATTGGACGGGGTCCCGGAACCTATCTGCATCCCAGAGTAAACAATGCCTTCGAAATTACGATAACATTTTCGTGTTAGCTTCGGTATTAGGTTAAAAATTATACTTTTAAACCCACTTATAATTTTGTACGCATTGCCTCATCATGAAATGATTAAAAATTTCAATTTAGCTGAATTTGAAAGTCCTAATTGAGTAATTATTCATCAAGTAAAATAAACCTTAAAATTAAGCTATTAACTGTATACTACTGGTTTTATTTTTAACCTGTTATATTACATTATTAACATAACATAATACTATTTGAAATAATGGCTACCTATTTTCTCCCTGTTTTGGCATGTAAATATTTTATTTTACTTTTTTTCACAAATAGTTTATTTGGGACTTCAAATTTCGTCATCTTTTCCTCAACTACACTACAAGGTCAGGGCTTTTCCCGTTAAATTCATGTATACGTTATGTCATACTTGTATAGCTTACACTTTTTAGTGTCAAATTTTACATTTTATTTTATTCTTTTTTATTGTTTTTATTCTGTTGTTGTTGTTGTTTTATTCGATTAAATCCACAAAAATAGTAAGTCTTTGACCGTCGAATCTTTGTAACGAGATGTGGAAGTCAATGAATGTTAATTACATGCCTATTCTTTATTCCAAATAAATTATATACTTTGATAAACTTGAAGTTTCTAAAATATCTTGTCGGCAAGCCTCTTAATTTCTTTTAAGAATCTTTCTTGCTCTTGATATTAATAAAAACTATACTATTTATTTGCTAATTAACAAGTTTTAAATCCTCTTTCTTAAAGATAATGGCGTTGAAAATTAAAGGTTTCATTGTAAGAAAAACGCTTAAAAAAATAATAGACTTTTAGGTAACTAATTTTTTTAAATTAATATCAGATTTATTACATGACGTGAATTAAAAGTACTTGATAGTTTTTTTCTGAAATTTATAACAAATGTAATTATTCTTAAACTTAATTTCAACTGTATATCACAAACCCGTTGGTAATTGGCCTATTATAAAACTTAATCGGTCAATCTATTCCATCTTAATGGTCAAAAAAATAAAAATTAGCATGATTTGACGTTACTTGCTTGCTTCTAAACAACCATTCACACTGCCTGCGATAATATGCGATATCGTTCAAGTAGTCGTTGAAATTGAGGGGGTTGTGATTGTCTTTGCTTAGTTCACGGTGCGACCTGTTTGCTCTGGTAGCGATGCTGTTCGATTACGTGAGATGAGATTGCTGTAAGCGCAAATCATTTTGTATTTCATGTGATCCGAACGAGCTTTTTGATCATTTCTCTATTTGTTTAATGTTTGTAACTACCCGGATCTGGAATCAATCTGACATTCTCAAATTTTCTCTATACATCGACTACAAACAAATAAACAAAGTCTGACATTAAACAACAAACATTAAAAATAAAATTATTGTCTTACATATTGCGATGCTCTGTATATTTATTACCATGTTGTGGCCATCTCTATTAGTTTCAAGTGAAATATTTATTGGTTGTA